AAAAAAAAAAAAAAAAGTAGAGGACTATATATATATATATATATATATATATATATTCCAAGGGAATGATATATAATAGTCAAATTAGAACACGGAATTGTACTTTTTCCTTACTTTCTCACCTAAGTTCTGATTTCTCTCTCCAGTGGGTAACTATATATATATATTATATATATATAGGCGTTTTCACCCTAAGCATATATATTGTATCATATATATGCGTGTATGCAGATGATATACATGAATTTCAAATGTACGCACATACATAAGCGTTGTAATTTGGAGTAGAGGAAATCATGAACTCGCATATGCCAACTCCTGGTACTTCTAGCTATATAATGTCATTAAGGAAAAGAAGTATCGTATTTAATTAGTTCTGGATTATATAAATTAGACAAATGTTTATCTGGAAATTAAATCATTTTGGAAAGAGAAGTAAAACAATATTGTTGTTTAGATATATATTGTAGTTGTGTGAGTGTGTGTGTGTGTGTGCGAGTGATAAATTTTGTAAATCGTATCTTGATCTAAATCTCTTTGTTAGTTTATTACTTGCCTATATATTCATAAGCATTGTAATTTGGAGTAGAGTTAGTCTCAGTTGTGCCCTTTTTTGTTCCTGGCCAGGTCAACTAGTATTGAGCTATGCTTTTATATACTTGGAATATTGGATTAGAGTATACTGGATATAAAATTAATAATGTAAGGTATATTACCTGTAATAATAGGTGCACCATTGGAATAGGATTGGATGACAATTGATTTTTAATATCGCTTAAAATCTGAAACTAAAATTAATTTGGAATTAAACTTATACATTTTTTATTTTTTTACATATGTGTGACAACAAAATAATTATCATTCAATATTTAGGTCATGGAACCTTGTGTTTGCATAATTCTTGTAGATGCATATGTGGGGGCATGGATCTCAATACAGAAAGGGACCAGACTCTCTAAAAGGGACTCAACCAACGGCCATGCTAAGGCTGCCTTGCTACTGCTGCGCCCCCGGGTGCAAGCACAACATCGACCACCCGAGGGCGCGGCCTCTCAAGGACTTTCGCACCCTTCAAACTCACTACAAACGGAAGCATGGTGTCAAGCCCTTCATGTGTAGAAAATGTGGCAAACCCTTCGCGGTGAAAGGTGATTGGAGGACTCACGAGAAAAATTGTGGCAAAATTTGGTATTGTGTTTGTGGATCTGATTTTAAGCACAAGAGGTCTCTCAAGGACCACATTAAGGCCTTTGGCCGCGGCCACGATGCTTTTGGTGTTGATTGCCTTGACGATGATGAGGAACCAGCGTCTGAAATTGAGCACGACGGCGAGGCCTCAATGTGATATCATATTTTATGTACGTTTTCAATTCTTGTGTGCAAATTAATTAAGATTAGTGCAGTCCTCATATTCTTCAACTTATTGATTTTTTTTTTTTTTTTTTCCTTTTTTTTTTTTTTTTTTTTTTTTTTGCTGTTTCTGCCTAATCTGCTAAGTTGATTATTATTTCCTTCTGATTATGGATGTTAAGATCAATCTCCTTCAATTATATGGATTAATAGTTCAGGTTTTCTCAGTGTCATATATGTTTTTGTGGAAAATATTAAAGATTACTAGTGCTCATATATATGTGGATATATATATATATATATATTCAACTTACTGATTTACTCTTTTTCTTTCCTTTTCCTTTTGTTCTATTAACCAAGTTGAATATCCTTCGGATTAGATATGTAAATTAATCTCATGTAGTTACATCACTACAAGAAAAAAGCTACTAGTGGCAAAAATAAAAAAAATAAAAAAAAATTCGCCGCCATAAAAAGACGTGAGCTTATCTATAGCGGCGAAAATATTCTTCGTTGACTTACCATCACTACAAGAAAAATGGCTTTTCGTAGCGGTTAGTTATAGCGCTTTTCAAAAAACGTTACTGCTTTAGTCTATAATAGCGTTTCTAAAGAGTTATAATATATATATACATATATATTAAAATTTGTTGACATTTTGACTGATTTGTTTTATATATATTTAAAAATATATAAATGTACAGATACAATTACATTGGGCGGGCATTGGAAAAAAAATTTCCAATTTTCCCGCTCGCTCCCTCCCCCCATTTTTTTTTCTGTTTTTTTTAAAGGAAATGCGCACAAGATACGAGAGAAACAGGGAAAGGAAAAAAAAAAAAAAAAAAAAACCCCCCAATGCTGAAATGCCCATACGGATTCATTCTCACTCAAAGAGTGCTTTGGCCGGCCAAGAGGGAAACAACCTCATTCTCCCAAAATTCCCTAAAATTCCCTAAGTTTTCCTAAGTTTCCTCAAGATTTACTCTCCTCGATTCTGAAATTGAAGGCCGGTAGTGTTAGGTTCCCTCAAATTTCCAACTTTCCCCCAAATGCCCTAATTTTCCGGTCCATCTCACGGGAAGAAATCCTCACGGCCGGGAAGAATCTCACGGGAAGAAATCCTCTCTTTGTCTGTGCATCGTT